GTTCTCATAAATGTCCGCATAATCGCCACCGGGGCCCGGGCTCTTGATACACGCGTGCGTGAACCCGGTTACTCGAAGGAGGCGGATGATTCCGGGAGCGCCGGGGAAGTGGACGAGTCCGAGCAGCCCGAGCAACAGATGCCTTACGGTGAGACGCGTCACTCTCCCGATTGCGCCGCACACCGTCTGTTATGAAATGTTGACAGCTAGAAACATCTTGCCAGCAAAAGTCGAGCAACTGTAGCTTGGGTATCAGCGGCAGCCGCCTGTCGTCGCCGTTCGGATCAGGCTGTCAAGTCGCGGCCGAGCAGCTCCCGCGCCGTTGCCGTTCGTCGTCGCATATCCCGGTGGGATGCATTCAATCACGGAGGAATGGCCGCTTCTTTCGGCGAAATATACCCGTCACCGAGGGCAACACCGCAATTACAGGACACAAATATTGAACGCGGCGATCCCATATGCGACATCACATCAGCAAGCCGCCATGTTGAAATGACTACGAAGTCGCGTTCAAGATAGGTCCAACCCAGTCTTGAAATTTGGGCACTTCAAGTTCGCTTCAAGCTCCGTTCAAGATCGGTTCAAGTTAAGGTGCGTTTATGAAGCGCGCTTGCTCGTCGCAAGACGGACTTGAGCAAGTTGAAGCTCGACTTCAGAGCAAGTCACATCTATGAATTCGGGGATCAGTCTCTGAGTGCAGCACCAAAAACTTTGGATACTGCGGAGTAGCTACTAATGGAACTTCAAGTGTACGTGCTTCGGTGCGGACTCTTTTCGGAGCCCGGTCGAGGAAGGTTTTGTTTTGCAGACCCATAAAGATGGGAAAGAAAGTTTAGTGCCCGGGTGCACCGCTCACCACGGAGCCCAACAAGGGGGTAGGTAATGTGCCATAGCAAGAAAGGCTTGGCTGACACAATTACACTACCAGTGCTGCCCGGGCACTATACCCTAGTGTGGTTGCAGGGACAGGTCCTGTTTCCACTCAAGGTTGGCCCTTGCCGCCTAAGAAGGTGAAAAAGGAAGGAAGAGAATGTAGAAGAAAAGAGAGGTGGGAGGAAAAGTGAAAGAAGAAAGAAGAGGGTAGAAGAGGCGACTGACTGAATCATCCTGGTCGGGCCAAGCCAGGACACCCGTCTACGAGAAGCAGAGGCCGAAGCGGTGTATTGCCTCACCCGGGGGGCCCCGAAGGGTCCAAACATACCCCGGGCTCAGCTCAACCACCAGGGTCCCCTTTTCCCCGGACACGGGTTAAGCCACGCACAGCCAGGCGTGGGTGGGTAAACCCACATAACTCGGGGTTTGCGGTGGCGCCACTCACCAAGCACCTACCAAGGCAGGTGCCCCCTGCGTGCGGGTATGGTGGCCCATGTGGCTGGGGTCCGTGGTGACGCTACTCACCAAGCACCTAGCACTAAAGGTGCAGGCACCCCCTGCGGGGCTCGGAGTATGTGGAGACGCCACTGTCCAAACACCTGTTTTCACAGGTGCCCCCTGCGGGGACACATTTTGCAATGCTTCAGTTAAATGATAAACATATGTACGTACCCGCTATCAATAAATAAGAGCCAAACTGCACATATTAAAATTTATTTAAAAATGACCAGCTTAGTAGAAAATATCACAGCATTAGGTTTACTACTTATATAATATAATAAAGCGAAGCAGTCTCCAACTGATCAAACATTTAACTACTGCAGTGCAAAGCGGAACAGTACACAAGAAAAAGCTGCAATACAACAAGCGGGTGCTTTTCGTTTCGCTTTTCGAAACTTTCTGCAAGGCTGCTGCAAGCCTCGCTTTGCCTTCGACAAGTAATGAACGTCCAATTTCAATGTCTCCAAAGAGACATTGAGACATCCCGCTGCAGGCGTTGCCAAGCAATTCCGTAAAACCACTTGCCAACAGTTTACTGTTCCCGAAGTGCCAGATTTTCGTTAAAATAAGCAAACATAAAGCAATGAATTGCAAGCGACCCGGCTGGTGCCTCTCTCGTGCAATAATGTTCGCATGCACGTGAGGGCAACTTCGGCAGCTTGCAGTCGCATGTGCTTCGTCGCGCGAGCGGAGACGGCTGTTCAATCGAAACCGAAACCATGCCACTCCGCTCCCTCGCCAACTGGTTCCCAAAATTGTATGCAAAATGTAACTGTCCAGCAGCGCGTGCTTGCCAGGCCTGCAGACGAGATACAAGCTAAACACACCGAAAAAAAAAAAAAAGAGCCTGAGCGCGTCGATGCAAGACATGGCGAGCCAGGGTCAAAAAGTTGGAGCGCTTTGTGCAACGACTGAACTAGAGACAAACAAACGCGCTGTGTGGGTTCAGCGTGCAGACGTTGCCTTCCTTGTTTTAGCTCACTTCTCTTCACCAACTTTCTTTTGCGGCAGATTTTTTTACGTACCCGGGTCCCTCTCAAAAGAAAGCCCACCGAGAGAAACCTAGGTAATCAATACTTCGACACAGCAGTCTGAGTTAAACAAGGATTTTTGTAATAGCATAATTTAAACAATAACAGGAATGTTGATGACCTTGCGGAGGTCCTTACGTTTCAGTTTAGAAAGCGCCATATCCGCAGCGACGTGGGCACGGTAACACCCGACGTCATGCAACCACGGTGACTGGTAGGCAGGGACCAAATATAGTTTTCGGACAACCATTGGCTTCGAGTCCATATCACATGAGAGAATGACGTTTTAGCGGAGAGCAATAATTGAGCGAATTGACGTTTTAGAGAACAAAAGCGCAATTTAATCCTCCCCCCCCCCCTCCACCCCTCCCCCGCCGCCGCCGCCGCCGCGCGCTGCGCTTACGACGCTTTGCAGCGACGGCCTGCGGCGGCTCATTGCAAAATGTGAACCCATTCGCTAAAACGTCATTTGATCAAGTGAGTGCCTCCCTACGGCATGGCTGTACCCGGCACGCTAGCGTTGAAGCGTCAGCACATCAGCGCTTGCATCTATCGTTGTAAGAATTTTAAAGACGCGAGACGAGACCCAGGAGACGACTAGGGTGCAAAACGAGAAACGGCGAGAAAAACCATGCAAGACCGGATGGACGATTGATGCAAAGTACTTTGTGTTGGGCGGCCGCTTGCGCCAGGTAGCTCAGACATGCTCAATTACGGTATTCAGTTTAGTCTCGATTTTGAAAGGCGACCGAAATTGGTCCTTTGGCGCAGCCTTGGCGCAGATTACCCATTTTTCGGCAAAATGTAGCAGGATGTATCAGGGTTAGCCCCTTGGCGCAGTTTGGCGCAATTGGCGCAGCGATCACATCACTGGAGATGCTAGAGAGACTATCGCCTGAATCTTTAAACAATTTACTCACTTTTTTTAATTTACTGTGGGAAACTGCTCGTTTTCCTGACTGTTGGAAAAAGGTACATATTATCCTCTACTGAAACCTAGCAAAGATCCCCCTTTACCGACAAGCTACAGCCCAATTGCATTGGCAAGCTGCTTGGGCAAAACCTGTGAGAGACTCGTTAATCGCCGTTTCGTACACTTTTTAGAGGCAGAGGGTGTGTTTGATAGAAATCAGTACGGCTTCCGAGCAGGTCGTTCCACGATAGATCACTTTGTTCGCCTGGAAACTTCTTTTCGGGAAGCTTTTGTCCATCGCCAGCACTGTATCTCTGTCTTTTTTGACCCACAAAAGGCTTACGACATGACTTGGAGATATGGGATCCTTCGAGACTTGTACTCATATGGTGTCCGAGGCCACATGCTTCGCTGTATTCAAAGTTTCTTGACAGGTTGGACCTTCCAAGTTCGTTTGGGCTCCATCCTGTCGGATGTTTTTCTCCAAGAGAATGGCGTCCCTCAGGATGGAGTACAGTCGAGCCCGCTTATAACGGCCGCAGATATAACGAACGCTCGCTTAGTACGAACAAGGGTGGTGCTACCGTCAAAATATACATTGGGGCAATGGCACAGTGTCTCATATAGAACGAACTGTTGCGGCCTCACCACTCGGTTAGAGCGAACGCGAAGCTGTCGGGCCCCCGTAGTTGACCGAGCCGGTGGTGCTTGGCGCGGTTTCGCTCGACTGCGAACCCGCGGCAGACGAACTTCGCCCACGGAGCGTCCCCCGGACGCTCCTTTGCGGAGAAAATAAAGAAAAAAAGAAAAAGCGCGCGTTGAAAAATGAAAACGAAAAAGCGCGCGCGCGCTGTGACGAAAGAGAAAGTGGCGCCGCCCGCGTCGTCGGGATGCATCCACGTGATCTGCGTCGACCAATCCGGAAAGTTCGGCGCCTGCTCTACCCGCTTTACCGGCCCAAACCGGTTCTCCATTTGTTGCTGCTCCGTTGCCACCCCGGACCGCGGATATTGAGCCGTCGATTCTTTCTGTGCGATGGCACTGCGTTGACATCGTTGCCGCATTCGTGCTCTTCCCAGATCGGGGATTTGAAGGTTGCCTCAACGCGCGAGTCCAAGGGCTTGACTTGCGCCTGGTGCGATGGCGGACTGTATGCCGACCTCTTCAGGTGCTAAAAGGAAAGCAGTCGACATTGCAACGAAGATGGCCATTGTTAATGAGCTTGCTCAAGGTGCAAAAAACGGCGATTCGGTCAAGAAGTACGGACTGTCGAAATCGACCATTTCGACCATTGCTAAGGACAAGGAAAAGATTTTTGGTGCTACCGTGAATGCCAACCCGACAAGAAAGCGCCTTCGGAAGGTGACCTACGCGGACGTTGAGGACGCACTGCTGAAGTGGTTCGCTGACGCCCGGTCTCGCAACGTTCCGATCAGTGGACCGCTGATGCTCTCCAAGGCTAAAGACTTCGCCTTCCTTTTGGACTTTCCCGATTTCAGCCCAGGCAATGGATGGCTCCACCGGTTTAAGGCTCGCCACGGAATTGTTTTCAAGGCGGTCGTCGGCGAGGCCGCGTCTGTGAACAACGAGGACGTCGATGCATGGCTTTTCGACAACCTCCCAACAATTGCGAGCTATGCTCCACGGGACGTTTACAATGCCGACGAGACTGCATTGTTTTATCAGATGTTGCCATCTAAAACGCATGCCTTGAAAGGCGACAAGTGCGCGGGAGGTAAGAACAGCAAGTTGCGGATAACCGTTCTTCTCTGTGCCAATATGGACGGCAGTGACCGGCGGCTACGTTTTGTTATTGGCAAGTCACGTAAGCCGCGATGCTTTGGAAGCTACGTGCCCGTACGCTACAGGAACAATACGAAAGCCTGGATGAGCCGCGACTTATTCGCCGAGTGGCTTGTTGAGTTTGACCGCGACATGGCACGAAAAAACAGGAAGGTCCTGCCCGTGCTGGATAACTGTGCGGCGCACCATGTGCAGCTTTCCTTGAGTGCAGTGACAGTACTCTTCTTGCTTCCCAATGCAACCTGCAAAATTCAGCCCCTGGATATGGGCATTATTCATGCGTTCAAGGTGTGCTACCGGCGGCGCGTCATCCAACGCTTGTTGATCGCAATTGATCGGCCAGATGCCGCCATGCTGGTTCGCATCAGCTTGCTTGCCGCCGTGGAGATGTTGAAGGCGGCGTGGATGGAACTCACCGCGGAGTGCATAGCAAATTGCTTCCGCAAGGCGGGTTTTATGGGCCCAGGCACCGAGGACGCCATAGATCACCCACAGGAAGGCCGGTCGCACGAGGACTTGTGGCAACGCGTCGTTGACACGCAGCTGGCCGGACCTGACGTTGCCTGGGACGATTTCGTTTCTGCTGATGACGACGCCAACATCACGGAGCCGTGCACTGACGAAGCTATTGTGCGTGAAGTGCGAGCCCTTCCCAACTGCCCAGAGACCGACGAGGACGATGACGAGGATGCTGCTCTACCGCCGGTTGCTGTGAACGCTTCAACCGCGATCGGTTACATTGCGTCGCTTAAGGAAGTCGTGTGCAGCAGAGGTCTTGGTGATGAACATATTACCGTGCTGGAAAAATTAGAAACGGCAGTGATGCGATCAGCTTTGAAGAAGCAGACTTGCATCATGGACTTTTTTCAAAAATAAAGTTAACTTTCTTCTCGCTTGCTCTTTTTGCCTGTATTATAGGTGGTCCACTTACTACGAACTCTGGATACAACGAACAAATGCCGCGTAGCAATCAAGTTCGTTATAAGTGGGCTCGACTGTACTAAGTGCTGCACTCTTTGCTGTGAAGATTAATAGCCTGGGAAAAATTATACCACCATCTGTATCCTATTCAATGTATGTGGACAATGTGCAGATACTGTTTTCCTCTTGTAACTTGTCCAGCTGTGAACGGCAACTGCAGCTCACATTCAATAAGATGAGCAAGTGGGCTGATCAAAATGGGTTCTCCCCCGAAAAGACAGTCTGTGTTCTCTTTTCACTGTGCCGTGGCCTGTCTCAAGATCCAGTGTTGCATTTGAACGATGTTGCTGTTTTAAGAAAGGAGGTGCACAAGTTTCTAGGAGTAATATTTGATAAAAAGCTCACTTTTATACCCCCCTTGAAAGAGTTGAAACATACTACGTTCATCAAACATCCTCAGTGTTGTCGGATACGTCCTGAAGGTCTGACAGACGGTGCCTCTTACGACTTTATAACTCCTTGGTGCGGTCCCGCCTGGACTATGGCGCAATTGTTTATGGGTCGGCACGTCCGTCTGCCCTAAAAATGTTGGACCCCGTCCATCATCTGGGGCTCAGGCTTGCCACGGGAGCATTTCAGACATAAAATTATTTTAATAGTTCTTTTTGAAGCATCAATAATTTTATTCTGTAACTCCATGATTATTGGGTTTTTCAAAGTCTTTAACGATGAGAGTGAGCGCAGAGAACTCAGTGAATCAGTGTACACGACTGACTGCTTGCTCTTTGTTTTTACAATGTGATCAACTGCAAGAGGAGACCGCATAACTCTGCTGTTAAAATAGTGGCCGTACACGCAATCCGTTTTACACAGCGAACAGAGGGGCCGACCATAGCACATCCAACAAACAATTCTGCCTTAGTACCATCCATGTAGTATGAGTTATGTCCAGAATATCTACTCTGAAATTCAAAAAATTCCTGTTTTATGTATTCTGGTGGAGTTTCTTTCTTTTTAATTTTCGTTAGTGAAAGGTCACAGGAAATGAGGCAGTGGTCCCACGAAGCTATAGTTTGTGGAACAGGAGTGACGGGCATTGTACTACTCAGTCCAATTGAATCTGCTTTGGATGCATTTCTCATACTAAAAGGTGGTATTACAGTGGGCTTGTTATCAAAAGTATGTTTATATCTCATTTCTTCAACAGCTTCTCGAGAAGGGTGCAAGGGAACCGAACAAATTCTAAGCGAATACATAAACCCTAAAGCAAACCTTCGCTTCTCCAGAGACCATTCATTTGACTCTGCGTAAAGGCTGGGGATAGGCGACGTGCGAAATGCGCCTGTAGAAAGCCGCAGTCCCTGGTGATGAATAGGGTCAAGCATTCGTAGGGCTGAAGGCCTTGCCGATCCATACACACTACTACCATAATCAAGGCGCGAGCGAATCACCGATCTGTAAATTCGGAGGAGGCAGAGGCGATCAGAGCCCCAGGAGGTGTGGGAAAGCACCTTAAGGATCCTTAGTGCTTTTTGGCATTTTACTTTGAGATATCTGATATGCGAAAGAAAAGTCAATTTACTGTCAAAAATAAGCCCTAGGAATTTATGTTCAGGTTTTGTTGGAATTGAAGCGGATCGCATGGTCAACGAGTTCTTCACTGAAGTTCCCCGTAGGCAAGAAAAACAGACAGACACTGTTTTTTCAGGTGAAAGCTGAAGCTGTTCTGGTCTGCCCACTTGAGCAAATTCTTAATTGCTAGTTGGACCCTACGTTCGCACATAGCAAGGTTGCAGGATGAGACGGATATCTGAAGGTCGTCAACATAGAGTGAATACTGTACATTTGGTGGAATGGCCCGAGCTATTGAGTTCATTTTAACTATAAAAAGGGTCACGCTCAAAACGCCTCCCTGAGGAACGCCATTTTCCTGGCAGAACTCTCTAGAGTAAGTAGTGCCCAAATTAACACGGAACGTACGCATCCCCAGATAGCTCTTGATGAATGCTAGCATTCTACCACGAATGCCAAAACTATCCATGTTATGTTCGTGTGTTTAGTACATCCGCATGGCGGTGCCAGCGGCGAGCAGTCTGGCAACCGGGGATGCATGCGCCATCACGTTCTGCGCTGCAGCGCGTGTGAAACATCAAGTCGAACACAGACCGTTGTTGGAGCTAGTCTGGCCCGCAATAAATGTTGACGCCACAGAGTGTTTGTTTCCGCGAACCCAACATAACAATCCGGGTCTTGCAGGATGCCATGACGCCATGCCGTGTCGTACGCCTTTTCCAAGTCAAAGAAAACAGACAGGCAGTACTGCCTATTTACAAAAGCCTCACGAATAGTAGTCTCCAGACGAACTAAATGATCCATTGTAGATTGTGACGAACGAAACCCACTGGTATTTGTCAAGGATATTTTCTTTTTCCAAAAAATACATGAGTCATTTGTTAAGCATTCTCTCCAGAGTCTTACTAAGACAGCTTGTTAGCGCTATTGGGTGATAACTGGTCGCGCACGATGCATCTTTTCAAGGCTTTAGCAAAGGGATAACAGTGGCCACCCTTCATGAGGATGGAAATGTGCTCTCGTGCCAAATGCGATTAAACAAATACAGGACTATGTCAAGTGTAGAGGGGTGGAGATGTGTAAGCATGTAATAATGAATTCCATCTGGTCCGGCAGCCGTAGGTTTGACTTCATGCAGCACCCGTTCCAGCTCACTCAGCGTAAGGCGCGAGTTGTAAGCTTCTCGAGCACCACCGGATGTTCGAAGACTGCCGCTCTGCCTGAGTCCCGTGTTTCAGAGAAGCAGCTGAAGAGTGCTCGGAACTAGAAACATGTTGAAAGTGTTCCCCAAGGAGATCTGCCTGCTGTTCAAGGCCCTCGGGGCAAAGTCCATTTGCAGAAAGATGCGGTACTGAAAAAGCACGGTAGTTCCCATTGACTTTATGAATTTTGTCCCACACTTCTTTGCTAGTGGCAGCTGTTAATTGAGGATGCATATCCTTGGAAACTTTGACGTCTAGACTGGCGGCGTATGTATCTCGCACGAGCCTTCATTTGTTTAAATTTGATTAAGTTAGTTTGCGTTGGGTAACGTCTGAAAATCCCCTAGGCTCTGTTTTGCTTTCTTTTCGATTTTTTCAGTCGGCATTCCACCATGGTTTAGGACGACGGGGTAGGTGAGACGAAGTCATGGGGATAGCTATCATTGCAGCATGAAGAATGTGACTACTAAGCAGACTGGTGATTTGATTGACAGACAGATTGTCAAATGATGTGCAAGCGAGCTGAGTGGCCTCACTAAAAGTACCCCAGTTTGCCTCTTCGAACTTCCAACGGGGTGTTCGTGTGGATAGTGTAGCGGGAGGATTGATGCAGTTTAAAATTATGGGAAAATGGTCGCTTCCATATGGGTTGGGATCAACAGCCCATGAAAAAAGGGGGAATAATGTTGGGTCACTTAGTGACAGATCAATGGATGTGAACGAACGAGTTGGAGCACTGAAATATGTAGGCTCTAGTTTGTTTAACAGGCATAAAGCAGTAGAAGAAAGAAAACACTCAATCATCGAGCCATGTGTGTCACGTCGTGCACTGCCCCACATAGGGTTATGAGCATTGAAATCTCCTAGGATTAGAGCTGGCTGGGGGAGTTCATCATAAAGAGATTCTAGCTCTCTGCGAGATAAGGTGTAGCTTGGAGGAATATACACAGAACAAACAGTTATCAGTCGATCAGATAAGATGCGAACTGCCACAACGTCTAATGTGGTATTAAGTGGTACCTCGACACAAGGGGTAGACCTTGCAACAATTATAGCTACACCGCCAGAGGTGTGGGATGAATGGAGATGGTCCCTACAAAAAACCTGGAAGCGCGTTAGGATGTTAGTATGATTATTGTTCAAATGAGTCTCCTGAAGGCAAAACGCCAGTGGGTGATGAAGATATAGTAGAGAGTAAACGTCATCATAGTTCCAGAGTAAGCCTCTGCAGTTCCACTGGAGAACTGTTTCTGCCATCTCACAAACAGGAAAAAAAAAAAATATATATATATATATCTTAAGAGTATATGTTTCACTAGACCTTAAAATCTATTTTGACGTGGGGAGCATTTTTCTTTTTAGCCGTATCTTTCGGCCTGCCGGTGGTACCACCGGAGGCCGAAAGTAAGGACTCTGAACTTGAGTGGAGTCTGTCCTCGTCGGATTTCGACCCACTCTCGTCCATTGGTTCACTGGGGGTTGCCGTAGGCTGATCCTTACGGGCCTGCGACCCAAACGGCTCACCGAGTTTCCGGGCGCCTTTAGAGGTGCGAGGGGGAATTCCCCGACCTCGAGGCAGCTGGGTTTTAGCGGGCGCAGGGGGTCCACACCTCTGCGCTTGGGTGGACCCTGGCGGACCAGTATCCTCCCTTCGGTCAGTGAGGGGAGTGGCTTGTACCACTCCAGGTGAGGTTGAGGGGGACTTGGGGAGGACACACAGGTCGTCCGTCGACGTCTGTGTTCCTGCTGACACCGTTGACCGCGCAGGTCTCCTGCGCGCGGCCTCGGCGAACGAACCTCGAGATAAAAATGAGTGCCGTTTTCTTGCTTCTGTGTAGGAAATATTGTCTTTGACTTTCAGGGAAATAATTTCCTTCTCTCTTTTCCACACAGGACAGCTGCGAGAGCATGCCAGGTGAGGTCTTTGACAGTTGACACAAATAGTAGTGTTGTTACCACAGTGATCGGTGGGGTGGTCAGTACTTGCACACTTGGCACAGGTAGCCTTTCCCCTGCAAGAGGGTGTTCCGTGTCCAAAGCGTTGGCAACGGAAGCAACGCCTTCGATTTGGGATGTAGGGCCGAACCCTACAGTTTAAATACCCGGCCTTGACTGTTTGAGGAAGTGTAGTCGAGTCGAAGGTTAATACTAAATGTTTTGTGGGTCGCTCTTCACCATCACGCCGGAGGGTAATACGTCGCA